AGAGAGCTGACAGTGTAATTTGGTAAGGTGTGTGGGATAAGTAGGAGGTACAGTGAGTACCAGGAAGTCGGAAGGAAGGCTGGGCGTGGGTTTGGCAAGGCGAGCTACAATGCGGCATTGCGATGTTGCGGTCCTACCAGTGTACCTGCCGAGGTTGAACTGGACATTGATCACTTTGACCAGCAGTTCGCTGTAAATAAATAACTAAGGGATCAGGTGCAAAGCCCAAACACACTACTTGTGAGGTCGTGTTGGTTCTCTGACACGGCCAGATTTTAATTTCCATTCTAAGGGGTTGACCCTTATTAGGGACGCGAGCGAGGGTTTGGAACTTTGACACGAAGCCGCAGGTTAAAATACAGTCTGGTACAGTATGTTCTTTGTCCCTACCACCCCAGGCCTAGTATCTAGTGACACAGCACCAAAATCACATATACAGGGGTTAATGAAGACGACCTAGACCCTCGACCTCTATTTCTGTGATTTTGGCGCAGTGTCCTAGCACTAGATGCTAGGTCTGGGGTAGTAGGAACAAGGAACATACTTCTGCACCAGACTATATATAAAACTGCGGACTCGCTCGCGTCGCTGAGGGTCACCCCTCCGGCAAAACCCGCTGTACTGGCAATTAAAATCTGGCCATTAGAAAACGAATTTGGCCACTTGTGATGCCTTCTTTGGCAATGAACTATACGACAGTAAAAGTCAGGAAGGGGTATGCTAATCCCCGATGTATTAGACAATTTTTTTTAACCTAGTAGAGCAGGTTGGTTTCATTCACTATGGACAGAATTACACATCCTACAAAAGATTTACATTGGTTTAGAATGAACATTAACATAGTTGAATTTAGCCATCAACAGAGCGTCACATCAAGTATCATAGTCTACGAACCTAACTTTGCATCATGTAATTGGGCACTGCCTTTAATGACTCGTGGCAGTTGTCCAGTTTATTGCTTAGCTCTTTTGACCTGCGTACAGTTAATCGATTATCGTATACGCGTCCGAAACAGTTAGTCGTAAACCACTTCATCACACTGGCTATTTGAACAAATTTATTGCCCACCAACTCGGTATTGGGAAACGACAAAAGTAGGCTAACGTTCAGCAGAGACAATAGTCTCTAGGCCTTTCACCCAAACGCGGCTCAGGGCTCACATATGTATTCATTTCCGGCGTTCCAGTAAAGAACGCACAACGAATAGGCGCAGTCACTTATACATAATGCTAGTTACATTCCGACGTGCGAGCGCGTGGCCGCGCACAAGTAGGCTAGGGCTAGGCTCGTGAGTACCCACGTAACGCATTCCATTGCGCATGCTTAATATTAATAACTGGCCGTGTAGCTAGGCAAGATGTGGAATAGCTTGTGTAGGAAAACTGTTATGGGTGAAACTCGGTTGTCTACCCTTGTTATGCTCGTGTAGATGTCATCTCCCTCTTGCTCATTCTTAATGAAGTAGAATCTTCTTGGATAGGATTAGGACCCCCATTGTTTCCACAAAACTTTGCCAGTCGCTTCCTCTTTACACCTTACATCGTCAACTCTTCCATCAGTGTCCTCTGCAAAGTGTTCATCGGCCTCCGAACTCTTGACCATCTCCTTTTAGGGCCGGTGGTTACGCCCTGAACAATGGCACAAACACTACTGAAAAGTAACACAGCCTTCTGCACGTCATCTTGCCTGGACACGAATGAGACGATTCATAATTTTAAGAAAAGGCCAAAAGTCTACTAATTCATGAACATGGATACTTTGACAACTCTTTAGGTGGAGACAGTATCCTGTTGAAAGAAATGCTACCCCCAGCGGCAAAGAAAGTTAATTTTCAAACCTAACCCAGCTTCTAACTAGACGCTGTGATTTTAAAGGAGCTGTTAGGTTGTCCAATATGCTTAACCCTTCTAAAATACTTGTTCTATTCGTTTTTGAAGATTGTTGACGGTAAGCATAGTATTGAAATTCGTGTCCACCGGTCTCCGTGAGGTGTTGAAGATCACTAGAACGGTCTTGAAGTCGAATTATCGGTCTTGAAGTCGGGGCCCACCCCGCATGTTAGGCACATCTGATTTGAATTACTTACACTTAATTATACACTATGTCCTATAAAATCATTATTTTGTCCTCAAATATACTCTGAAATCTTAAATTGTAAAACATGTTACAAATCTTGGTAGTTTAGGGGCAGCGTCTTAAGTGGTGCCTCCTTCTTAACATTAAGATCGGAGAAACCGCTTCTCCCTTCTTCTTCCTCTTTCTCTACAGACAAAATTAGATACCATATGTAGCTAGTTTTTATATGAAGATTCAAATTGAACCCAGGTGTTCTGCTGTCTAAAGTCGTTGTATGATTCGTCAGTGCTGTGAGCTGTGACGGACTGAGCCGTGTGGTTAACTATCATGTGATTTCATGAGCTTGTTTAGAGATAAAACTGTTTTTAGGATACTCGTTATAGTCTTTACTAATAGCACTTACGGCGATTGTGATTAAGATGGGACATTAACTTATTGATGATTGGTATTGGCCAGTTTGAAATCCCTGCTTATCCTCAACATTGAAAGTTAAGTTTTAAGATGGTTACTTTCAAAATTCTATAATTATTGAAACATTCATCTTATTCGCTACACCCTAACCTAATATCTTAGTTGAAGATAAACAGGTAGCCATTAGAAACGGAATCCTTGCAAGTAGTTCAATTAGCATTAGATGATGTGATAGGAGTAGAATGCAGACTTCATTGATATCATTTCATCATATCACTCATAACTAGTGAAATTATTCCACAACCCGCTACGTCGACTGACAAAATTAGCTTCACCCAATCAGTCCAGTTAAGCTAATGAATCGTTTCAATTAATTAAGTGACTTTCCCTGGAAAGGAGTTGGAAAAAAGACTTCTGGAGAAACAGCGATGCCTCGCCAAGCATGAAGTGAACGTCCCAATTTGGCAGCCTAGTGCACATGCGCGCGGATATGGTCACTTTCTACTATAACCATAATCATCATCGTCATCATCGTCGTCGTCGTCGTCATCGTCAACGGTGCGGTGGTCTTATCACTTCCGGCAGACCGCGACGTCCGTTCTTGGGTTTCACGGTTGATTGGGTTCAGTAATTAGCGGACTTCTCCTTTCTTTTGGCCGTTGTAGGGTGAAAAAACTGTTTCCTAGGTGCTAGGAGCGTACGTAACTCTCGTTCTTTTACCCAACATTCTCTTTAAGATCATTATATATATAAAGACGAGAAAAAGCTATGGTCCCAGAGCAGAGCCTTGGGGAACGCCTATTCAATCCTAGGAACATTAAAAATTCAATTCAATAGTTTCGCATTCAGGAGTGAGTTATATTTCTTTAACAGTTTGAATTACTCATTTAAGAGAACATAATTGTACCCTTTTGTTCGGCTTTTTAGCCGTGGTCAATAGTAAGAATAAGAATAAGAAACATGACTTGATATGAAGTATCACAGAGCGTCAAAATATGCATACAACCGACTTTTTTATAACAAGAAACAAAAATAAAATTTATAAAAAACAAAAACAAGTATTAAAAGCTCATCTTCCCATGTCTGCAGTATTGTAACACAAGTTGTTAAATATTCGGTAACTTTGAACCGTTGTAAATTATTTTGTTTAGAATGGTAGATGGTTAAATATTGTCACTGCTATAATTCACGTGCGTGCCCAGCATCCAGTTAGTCCGCTGACTGTATGTTTTGGAGGGAAAGTCGAGGCGGTCGTGCCGCGTTTGGCGGTGGTCAGCACGCTGCCCTTTGCTGCCGTAGACGGAGTTGGCGCGTGCGTATGCCGCAGGTGCGTGTGAAAGTGAACCTAGCTCGCGACTAATATAATGGCCGATTAATATGTCTTGGGTTTGAGTTCCTCCCGTATACTTGAAATAGCTTCGTAATCTGTGTACCTTTCTTACATCAAAGAACAATTTCAATTAAAGCATCTTAGATTTTTTGTAATGAAATGTATTTCTTGAGTTTAAGTAATTTTACATGATGAGATTCTTGATTCTACGATCAGGATTCACTTGTAGCATAAATTAGATTGTCCAGCTGTACCGACAAATTCATGTTGAACTTTTATTGGTTCGAATCACCCGAGTGTTCTGGTAAATCATGATTGTGATTTTATAATACACTAAACTATTTTATTTGAAAACTGTTAACCTTATGGTAGTTTATTGGTAGAGTCATAGGCGGAAGTACCAACAATTGTTGGTTATAGGTTGGCCGCCAATTTCAATGTCAGTCATAAATAAGGAATTTCCGTTTAAGACTATTTTACTTGGGGATCTTGTTCATTTCTCTCACGAGATGACAGATCGTGACCTTCCAGCATTACTTGGGGTCTTCCTTATTGGGATAAGCCTCCTGGGAGCACGCTGCAGTAACGAACGCTGAGACACGCTGGCTTCTACGTGGCGCTGCCTCTATCGAATCCGTCGCGGTTTTCCGCTTAACCAGAGCAGAACAGTTTCTTGTCAACAATGCGGTGTGGATCCGACCTGACGGGTAGGTCCGCTGGTCCGCTGGTCGCGATACCTCCGGGTTGCTAAGAGTTTCATTAGATATAATAATTCATAATCTCTTCGGTGTTAATTGTCACAATTCATTGCGACGTTGAGTCCTTGCTATCAAGCGCAATTGGTCTCAGTCTAGCCAATGATGTCAATTTGCTGCAAGCGCGAAACATTACCTATGAAGATGCGATTTGCGGGTCATAAACTGTGGATTGTGACACTGGTAATTTGCTGGACTGCTGGACATTCTATGGCGTTCATATAATCCTTGTTGCATTTCTAAGAAATCAGAAAAGTTGTCCTGCTGAACCCACAGGGGAAAGATTGCACCCAAATGTAGATAGTTAACGGTAAATGAGGAAAATGTTTATTTATATTGTTTTCATAGTACACACAAACATATACCATCCTTCATGTTGAAATGTTGTTTATCTGTGACATTAATTCATACCTTTTTTCTGTTTTCAGGCCACGCGGAAAATAGCAAAGTGTGGATACCTTTTTGTGGCTCCAGGATGGGACTTTACGAACCCCCTCAATCGAACGAAAGTAAGTACTGTAGAGTTTCGTTTCTTTGGTTTAAGGCGCTTTAAAACAACGTGAGATTTCAGTTTACTGTTCGCTACCACTAAAAACACACCCCAAACTTTGGAGAAAAAATGCCAATTAACGTAGTTTTCATTGTATTATTTTCTCTATCCCAATTTAAATTAGTTGTCATTCTATTATATTCTCTCTTGGAAGTTGACACTGGTAACGCCTTACTTTTTTGGAGAAATAAGGATACATTGAAGTCTTCGAGATGAATGCTTGTTTTTCTTGTCTGTTCAGCAGTGTTAATTTAGTTTGTTAAAAATCTCTAAAACTGGATTTGTAAATTGTCTTAAAAACGGATTTCGTAGATTACTCTACCATTTTTTGCCCCAGAGCCATCCAAAATATCCCACATTCGGGGTAGATATCCCACAATTAGTCCCGCTGGGCAGCTCCCGTGCGTGACGGTGGTCTCATAGTGGTAGGTGATGAGAAGCATGTCCCCGTATTTCCGCTGCCACTCCCCATGCCCACTTCCGCCTGCTGCATCTACCGGCGTGCGACTGATCCAAATAAAGCTAAACAAAAACAACAGACACAACAAGATTTTACAGTAACTAATCATCATACAATACAATATTACAAACAATACAAACAGTATCGTATTGTCTTCTGAGTCTTTGCAAATGGATAAGAACTTGGTGGTGATAAGTGCATTGATTCTGTTGCCTTTAAATTGCAACTGGTGTTTTAAGGTGAGTTGAAGATTACTTGGATGAGGGATCTTTTGCTATCATGACGATTGCATCATCTTGTTGACGATTTTCCTTTTCTGTTGGTCTAGCACTCCGCTGTACTATTGCTGTACACTATGAAGAGGTCTGAGGAATCTCTATAGAAGAATTAGATTCTCATTTAATCATAAGAATTGATAGAATTGATGTAGATGAGCATCAAACATTTAGGCTTGCACAGGGAATTTACTGGACTGACGGTTACACGTATCACCAGACAAATTCCACTTTAGTTGGATCCACAGCATCACCAGAGGTTACAATATTCTGCAATTGCACTCTGCTCTGTGAGCAATCGTATGATGCTTGTCAGTATGTGATAGGTTCTGCCAGTTTCGAGAACAGTCAGTCATAGAATGCACGTTAATCGCGTGATCTCGTTTGTAGAGCAGTCATTGGCTGCATGTAGGTATGTGAATATCTTGCTTGTAGAACAGCCGCGTGCGTATAATTTCTACCAGTTTGCATCTCTAGTGCGTGATCTCTTCTTTAAGTTTGCTGAACAGTCTCAGGTTGCATGTCTATTGCTTGATAATTTCTGCCAGTTTGGATCTCTAGTGCTTGATCTCTTCTTCACGTTCGTAGGTTGCATGTCTATTGTTTGATAACTTCTGCCAGTTTGCATCTCCAGTGCGTGATCTCTTCTTCTAGTTTGCAGAACAGTCGTAGGTTGCATGTCTATTGCTTGATAATTTCTGTCAGTTTGCGTCTCTAGTGCATGATCTCTTCTTCTCGTTTGCAGAACAGTCGTAGGTTGCATGTCTATGGCTTGATAATTTCTGCCTGTTTGCATCTCTAGTGCGTAATCTCTTCTTCTCGTTTGTAGAACAGTCGCAGGTTGCATGTCTAGTGCTTGATAGTTTCTGCCAGTTTGCATCTCTAGTGCGTGATCTCTTCTTCTCGTTTTTAGAACAGTCGTAGGTTGCATGTCTATTGCTTGATAGTTTCTGCCAGTTTGCGTCTCTAGTGCATGATCTCTTCTTCTAGTTTGCAGAACAGTCGTAGGTTGCATGTCTATTGCTTGATAGTTTCTGCCAGTTTGCGTCTCTAGTGCATGATCTCTTCTTCTCGTTTGTAGAACAGTCGTAGGTTGCATGTCTATTGCTTGATAGTTTCTGCCAGTTTGCATCTCCAGTGCGTGATCTCTTCTCGTTTGTAGAACATTCGTAGGCTGCATGTCTATTGCTTGATAGTTTCTGCCAGTTTGCATCTCCAGTGCGTGATCTCTTCTCGTTTGTAGAACATTCGTAGGCTGCATGTCTATTGCTTGATAGTTTCTGCCAGTTTGCATCTCCAGTGCGTGATCTCTTCTCGTTTGCAGAACAGTCGTAGGTTGCATGTCTGGCTCGGACGCATCAGTGAGTCAGTGCATTGTGACCCAGAAGATAGTATCTCTTGTACAATGGTCGCTCCTGACACAGTTCCCAATGTCGGTGTCGGTGTCAATGGAGGCGTGTAGTCAGTTACATACTCTGTGTTGTGTAACTTGTAACCCACATTCTCACACCATCCTAGTTACCCACGCTGTCTCTGCTGTGTGGGAGATGACCACGTGTGTCAGAGTGGCCAAAGAGATTTTCGTTTGGCTGACAAGTTCATTTGAACATCTTTGTACCAATGAACCAATGTAGGCCAAGAGTGTATCCAGCGAATCGTGTTTCTGGCCTGCTAAATCTTATGTAATATAATTACTCGAATAAAGCTATGGTTCCACAGACTGCGGAAATAACGTTGTGGAAATTCAGTTCTGTCCAAACTAGCAACGAGTTTTGATTATGATGTCGATCTTTTATCTTTATTTGTGTCAACTCATACACAGATAAACAGATTACCTGTTTTCCCAAGTTTTTCTCCAATTCTACTCCAAATTACGCATTTTTTCGTTGTTTTTGTACTCCGGGTCACTCAACTTCCACAGCACATCATGTTGAGACATCAACTCGACAAGTCTCTCCTCTTCGGTCGATGAAAAACGTCCATTTACTCCTCTTTTTACCACACAAGACATAATGAAATTGCAATAACTGAACGGTCACAATAATTGTTGGCTTCTCTCCGCTGGCTGATTCCGCACTGCCACTGCTCAAAGACCAGTATGATTTGTCCGCCATGCGGAATCGTAAATTCCGGACGCGTGAACGCATGTCAATGGAACAGAACACAGGGGAACCCCATTAAACCAGCGTCGTTCCGCAGCGAAAAATTACGCACCTCACGGTTAAAATTCAGCAGTTTGTGGACATATGTCCAAATTCCTTCAATTGATTATTTAAATAGGACCACGAAACTAATTATTTCCTCAAGTCAAGAGATCATCCGGATTTTTCCTGTGAATCTAATCCTTTTCTGCTTTTAGTATAATCTGATAACCTCTTGTTTATCTCTATACAGCTTTTGAAAGTGATGGTGGTGGAAATCGTGTGAAGGAAAGTCATTTGCGTTGTTTTATAACAATCCCATTTCTGTTGGGCAGAACAAAACTGTAAGCTATGAGTTGGAAGGAGGTGGAGGCATATTCCCTGATACCTTTTACAAAGATATTCTGAACTTTGCAGAATACACTGTCCCCTCTAGGAGGAATTCAGAGTTTTTTTAGGTTTTTTTATCGTGTAATGAGTTCTCCATTCTTCTTTCAATCTTTCCCATTTGAGCTCGCCGTATATTCCAACTAATAATTATTTGAATTTAAGCTTCAACAAATTTTGCTTGACATTTCTTTGTAAAGGCGTGTTCTTCAAGGCCATCGTAGATCGATGATGGTGTTAATATGATTGGCTTGCACAGAGAGAGTGCAAGTGAAAGTGTTTGTTGCGTCACACCCTGTATCGCACATCGCACAACGACCGTGAGAACGGCATCAACCGATCGCCACCCCTCCCTCCATCACGTTCCGGCCATATACATTGTATCCGATTGGATGTTTGATTAAAAATTAGAGTTTAAATTGCCTGTTGAAAAAGTCTCGGAAGGGTTCCTTTTTGATCATCGTTCCTTTTAAGGTCTTAAAGGGATATTTTCGGGATCATTGATGAAACTGGCGTTGGAAAGACCCGTACGTACATTGAACCATTGTTTTGTTTTTAGTATACATATGATGACGCTAGGCATTTTTTGAATGCTGTAGATTTAATTTTAAGCTTCAAATCTGAAATTTTTGTTTAATTTTTATAAAATATGTTAGCTGCCAGCCATGATAGCTGATTTATTCTTGCATATTGTATATTAAAGAAAACAAGAAAGGGTCAAACGGAAGAATAAGGCTGAAGCCCTAGAATAGCCACGATAATCTCAGCACTCTCTAAAAAGTCACGATCACATCACGACAGATTACTCAGTTGCACTTCTAAACTGGTCAAATGAATCCGCAATACTTGCATTTGCATCAAACTATGGCGGTTTGTGCTACCTTGATTGTTATCAAGACATTTCCGCTTGTAGTTCATTAGCCAAATAGGTTTTGAATTTTGTTGGTTTTGTATTGATTGCTTCATGTCGCTGAGCATATGTGTAAGGCCCCTCGCCCACTATACGATTTCGGTCGTACGACACTGTGTCGGAACGACAACATTTCCACAGTGAACCATTGGACCTTATGAGAGCTCGCCCACTGTACGATAATCTCACGACTACGACAAACTGTCGTGGAGCAGTCGTCCACTGCCACTGTGATACACGACTGTCGTACGACCGTTTTACTCGCAGTGGCGTGTATGATCAAATGGGCGCTCGCCCACTATACGATTTTTATCGTATGTCGTGCGTTCTCCCCAGTAGTCTTATATATACTTTTTACAATTAACTCATACTTCGTCATTATTATAGTTGTTATATCACTTTCCGTATTTCTTATGGTGAATAAATATTTCTTACAATTCATTCATACTTTTTTATTATAATGTTTGATATATCACTTGGTTTTATTTTTCAACCATTATTTTGCGTAATATTTTACTTCCTATTTATTTTTTACAATTTGTTCATATTTTTCTTTATATTATGTTTAAATACTGCATCACTTATGAGTAAATATACCAAAATAATTATTGAAAAAATGCGGTTTTGGCTATTATTTATTATTTTATAATCTTAATTATTAGTTATATTTTGTAAAAAAGTTTCACTAAAACCTATAAATATAATTTTTTGTACATTATATTAATAAAATTAAATCATTAATATTTAAAAACTAATCCAAAAAATTTTAACATAGGTACATACTTT